TTTTATGAGACCTGTTGCCAATATTAGTGCCACCGAATGATCTCATCTTTCATTCTGGCTAAATTCCAACACACAATTTCATTAACCCAGGTACTGCAGGTGATAAAACTCATTTTTCCCTAAAGAGACAGCTAAAAAGTACCAGTTATACATTTATGAAGTACCAGCAATCAAAATTATGGATTTTCTAAAAGGTTTTTAACTACTTTTATTGAAAGGAAAATCGCTGTCTCAGACTTTTGTGACACTATTGCTAATAATAAATTTTACCATTTAGACATCGCAGTAATATGGTAGACAGTGTCAATAAAAGTATGAAACAAAGATGATCCTTGTCTCTTAAGTAATGCTTTCTGATTACACACCGGAAATTATAATGTGAAACATAAACTAAGAGCACCTTAAGGTATAAAATGCAATAACGCAAGACGATGTGCCTCGCTACGCGTACGCCACGCGCAAAAAGTATTTCAGCGCAAAAATACTGCGTCGCACGTAGCAGGCAGGCGCTTGAGGTTACCTCGTGGTAGAAGCCGAATGCTCGCCCCGAAGAGTAAAAATATTTATGTATGTGTGTAAAACTAAAAGTTACACAGCTTAGTTCGAGCTGGCTTGCTGTTTCATCCGCTTGGGAAGGGAATGAAGCGGGGCGCGCTCAGGGATGCTACTTTTGGGTTCCCTACGAGCATCCCTCGGAGCATCCATCCCAAGAGGCATCCACCCACCCATCCCGAGGAGCATCCATCCATCCCGAGCAGCATCCCGGGAGCACTAGAGGGCACTGTGGGATTTGGGCCACCCCGGCCGCCTCCCGCCGCGGTCCTGCGCTCCCCTGCCATGTCAGGGAGGTTAATCAGGAGGTTGTAAAAGCAAGGGTAACGTCGACGTTTGAGCGGCAACTGGAAATGGGTGGGGGGCTCGGGAAATGAAACGCTCGCTCGTATCCCCGAGGGCCGGGCCGGGTCCCCCCGAGAGCGGGACGGGGGCCCAGGGGTCGCTGCATCCCCGCGCCTTCGCCGGCCATGCTCGATAGCTGGGGAGTTTAATTGGGCCTGCCAGGAATGAAAAAACCGAAGGAGCCGTCTGTGGACCAGCCTTTTCCCTGCCCTTGCTACCTATTTGATTAAAAAGTCTCTGTTGTGCTAACGGCAGATGATTTCACTGCAGAACATTTTGACATGCAAATGATAGCAATTAATGCCTTTGAAACAATTTATGATTTCCGGCCTATTTCAACATGTATTAGCATATACCTGGTTTCTTTAATATACACTTTGTTTTTCCAAAACCACAAACATAGTTGCTGGAATTTCATGTGGAAGTGCTTAAGGGGTTGAAAGTTAACACCTTTGTGAGCCGAGCAGTCTCACAGTTGCTGCTAAACAAAAGCCTCTTTGTAGCAGCCTTCTCGAAATGTTTTCTTAACATGTTCCAAGTAGTTTTAGGCAGGCAACTAAAGTAAACAAGATGTTACCATGATAAAAACACTTGTGAAAACATTACAGAGTGCACTTAGTAGTTTCTTTCACATAAACTCCCCTTCGTTTCATCAAAGTTGAATTCACATGAAGCAGATTACTAGCATCGCTGCAATACAGGATGGCAAGACCTCTCCAAAGGGCTGTGTCCCTCTTTTAAAGAATATATTTGATTTAAAAATGGTACAGCCATGATCAAGCACATCTAAACCACAATCAAATGTAGAAAAAAAAAAAAAGGGGGGGGGTGGGGTGGGGGGGGGAATGAAACCCTAACTCAATCTTCTCCTTCATTTCTTGCCCTGGACGCCGGGCTACCTTGCTGAATAAACCACCCTCCCTCCAGCAGGGATTTCCTGAACAACTTGCCGTATAAGGGGTATGTATTTCTAGCTGCAACAGTCTTTAAACGCATGCAAATGAAATCAAGGATATCGCCAATTTTGAAGGAAAGTCGCTCTGTGCTACTAATTGCTCCTTTGGTTGCCGCCTGCGAGAGGGGCCCTGGTTACGAGGTGAGACACGTGTGCCCCCTCCAGCCCTCACCCTGCTTCCCGCAGCTTGGCAGAGGGCCATCAGGTCACCGCGCTGAGACTGGACTTGGTTCTGGTTTTAGGCTCGGGGAGTGTTCCGGAGCATGCAGGGCACTACTGTTCCATTAGGCTCAGCTGCAGCCCCTGCTGCTAGCGGTTAGCTCAAACTGATACGCATCACATGATAACCGATGGCAGATAGATTAGGAAAAAAACCAAAAACCCAAAAAAACCCCCCAACTGCCCCTCCCCCCCGATGCTAAAACTGCAACTTATTTCAAAAAGAAACAGGGAAATAAATGCGTACAATAGTCCGTGTATCTGCTGGTTCTGATAAGCATCCTCCTGTTGGCTGTGAGTGAAAGACAACTAGGATCGTTATTTGTACAGTATTTATCTTTGAAATCAAGGGCCCTGTGGTGTACCTCACCTTGGGAACAAACACTACAGAACGATCACAGAGGAGTGTCAAATCTCTGGTTTTGATTTACCAACAGTTATGATATTTCTTCCTCAGGAGGAAAAGAAATGAACCATGTTTTAGACCTGCGAGTCCTTTTTTCTCCCTCAACTGCGGAATCATTTTATTGGCATACCGGGCTTTCATTCCACAGGCAACTTCTCTTTGCTTCTTCTAACGGGCCTTTTTACCGAGGTAAGTGAAATTAAGCAAAGTTCGATTGATACACGGGCTGCATTTCACTTGGTAAACACGAGCTTTTCTCTCGAGGGGACCATCGAAAGAGCCTCACAGGTTATACAAGTGCCAGAAAGAAACTTCAAGCGTCTAACCTGTTATCTTTCCATTGAGTAATGAATTCTGATAAATGGCAATATAATTTAAGGACGGATGCTCCGCAGGAGACTTGGAAGGCTACGGTCTCGTTTTATGAAGCAACGCTCACTTCCTAACAGTGTCAATACGCTGCTCGGGGACATTCATTTCTGCATTCATTCTGGGTTAAATATCACTTGAACAATAAGACTTTGTCTGGACACTGCAGAATTTGGATAATGAGAAAATTTACACGAGCCGATGGGTTTAAGAAAGTCACGCAAAGTATTTCTGTTGAAAGGTTTCAATGGGGAGGGAAAAAAAAGAAAAAAAAAAAAAAGATTGACGATAAGCGATTGATAAAAGAACCAGAATTGTTGGATCTGGGAGTAGATGGAGCCATATCAGGTCCAGCCTGGGCTGGTAATGGTTTTCAGGTTATTCCTACCTATTGATTGCCCCAAGTGTCTCCTCCAAGGGAACTGGTGGACTTGGTCTACTTACTGAAACATCTCCGAAAAGCCACATAAAAATCAGTCTTGCCTCTACCCACGCCGTGTGACTTAAGGGCTGTATTTTCTACACACGGTCACGTCAAGCAGTGCACTGCTCTGTAAGGAACCCTCCTGCAACCAACAGCTCTAATCTGGAACAGGGGACTAGCACAAGAAGCAAAGGTGGCGTGATCTGACCTTATGTGCCTACTCGCGTTTATTCCAGCATCTAAGGCTACCACAGCCCCCTCCCCTTGCATTAAGTGCAATAAAAATCAGAATTGTTTTAAAGGCCTAAATGCTATACTGTGGCATATGAATATGAATGAGCCGGCAAGTATGGCGAGATTAGCATTTATTTCACTTAAGTGAACAACAGGATGAATTAAAAAGAAATGAGGCCACCCTTCATGGAAATTTATGACTAGCACCTTCTTATTTTGTAATCCTCTTGTAATGAGAACCTTCTCATTACTGTACCATTCCTTACTTGTAACATATGTTTATGCTAGGACCAGCGCTGCTCCTACTGAATTCAGGAGGGGTTTTGCCCATGGAAACAGAACTGGCCCATTCTGTTCTGGGAGCAAAAACCCTAACATCATCCAACAAACATCCTCTGCTTGCTGTTGCCCTTCCCTCTCTCACATAAAAATCCAGGGAACTGCCCCAGAAAAAAACCAGATACAGCTGAACGTTTTGGGACTAATTCTACTTATCCATCCTGAAGAATCCCACGTATTTATGTGGACTGACTTCATGAGATCACCACCGTAAATGGGAGCAGAATTTGTCCCTTTGTGCATTTGAATCATACACATTGCCTGGGCGGTTGGTCTTTGGTGATCTTACAACCTTCAAGAACCAGGATGCACCCAAAGCGTACGTGTACCCGGTGATCTGCCCAGACAGAACACTCTTTTGTGATGGGAACACTTTTTGCTCCAGCTTGGAGGGGCGAGGCTGATGGTTTACTGTGGAGCAGCCATGTGTAAGTTGTTAGAGCTCTGCCGGTCCTTCTCTGCATCGGGATGCAGGCATTACCACATACTAGTCCATAATGCACTGTTTATGCAACGCGTAAAACTGTGTTCTTTGGCAGCAAGGAAAGGTCTGCAGCAAACTGCAGGGGCCCAATTAATATAATTATAGTTTATTTTTAGTAGTGTAGACTTTGTTCATTAGTTACTTATTTGACATAAATTAAATTTCACGTGATGTTCTGCAATTCTCTGTTCAATTACGGAGTTAATTTAAGACTAAATTTCTAAATTAAAGTGAAATCAAGGTTAAATCAAGGTTGTATTGTTTACAATATCAATACTGCAACTTAAAAATTATTTAAATAAATTAAAAAAAAAAAAAAAAAAGGCTGCGGAACTGCAAACACTCTATTTTATAGCAATACACTGAGCAAGACCATACTTTCCCCACGGGGCTAATTTACTATCCCCTGTTAAAACGTTCTTGAGCCTGATCCAAAAGCCACTGAAGTGAAAGGGAGCTCTCTGTTGACTTCAATGGGCTTTGCATCAGGGCCCACGGTGAGTGACAGCACACAAAATTTCAGGGCATGCTTTCTGTACAATGCAAGCGCCAAAAAAACCATCCTTACTTTAGAAACGACTGGAAGTCTTCACATACTGCTTCACAGCCCGGCCATTTGCATACGCCGTGTCCATAGAGCGGGTGGCTGTGCGAGTGCTCCTCGTGGGATAAACTGGAGGAGAGAAGGAGAAGAGAGAAAAAGTGGCGTAACCGAAGGTACCGCGCCAATTAATCTTCACAAAGACTCTTAAGAGCAGCAAACAACAGATCCTGAAACATGCCTAACATCTCACGGTACCCACCTGACTCTGCCCATGCTTTTTCAAAACAGAATTAAATACCATTTGCAGTGCGAAACATGTGTCATTCTTACTTAGCTATCCTCCTACATTTCATTCATTAATTAAAAGCTTTGTAAAGAATTTAAATTAACACGGACGGGGGAGAAATCATTTGACAGACCTGCTTAATATCCTGCTTGATATTTTGCTAAGAAATTTATGAACATTGCATATTTACAATTCAACTTCATCAGGAAGAAAAGTCATCTCCATTCGGCAGTGTATTCTTATAACACAATACAACCGGACCCGAGGCTTTCCTCATCACTACAGAAAGAGGAAAAGCATCAAGTTTGCAGCCTCGGCTTTCCCACCGGGTTATTTATTTACTGGGCTTTTTTTTTTTTTGTTTTGTTTTCACTTTGTTTGGGGTTTCCCCACCCCCCCTCACCCGCTGTTCCTTCACACAAGTACAGCCACCTTATATCCCAGCAAAGAAGGCTCACCACTACTTTCAAATCCAAAATTCATCACCAAAAAAAGGAACCATGTAATCAAAGGATTCCTCTGTACGAGGGGTTAGTGGGGGCTATTAACCTTGCTGAGATTTGGCAGGAACGTCGCAGAGCTTTCTAACTACTGAAACCAGGGTTAAAAAACCCAATAAAATCATATGAGCACTAAGGGGTTAATCCTTCAGCGGGATTCCAATCAATACGTAATGATTTGGCTGCACTGATCCAAGTCATGAGACGCTTTGATCCGGGCCATGTGGTGCTCAGGGAAATGTATCTGTTGCACTAACTGATGAACCATACTCTAAAATATCTTCTTTATTCAACTTCTGCATGGAAACTTCTTAAGTAAAGGAATTTTTTTTTCCAACAATTTCCATAACCTTAGATGACTTGAAAAATAAAATGTCAAAATAATATCGAAATCTCTATTTTATGCTCGCACACGTATCTATTTTTCATAGCAAATCTTTTTGCTACAGTATGCCTGTGCTGTATTATGGACTTCAAACATACACAAAGGATATGAACACATACCAGCATCTAGGCGTGGCTTTTATGACTTATTTTATCCTGAATTACAGGTAACATTATGGATAAATGCCTACTTTTTCCCATTTTACTTTTATACACATGTGGAAATGCTGTTTATTCTTGTCCTGTAAGATTATCTGCCTGCGTACCGTAACAAAACTGTGTTCTTCTATTATTTCTGATTCGCTGGATAGCAAGATCACCACAGGACATACCCCTGAGATGTCACCCAAATGCAAAGAAGTTGCAAGAGAAATTCTTGCCCAGATTCTGCTACTTTGGACTTTAGGCCCAACAAGAATCTGACGATAACTCACAAGTGGGTTTTTCTTTTTTTTTTTTTTCCTTTTTTTTAATTAAAAAAAAAGGTACAGATCTGACTGGAAAAAGGTGCTATGAGTTGTGCATGACCCTAAATAATTATTTCATTAAAATCTTATTTTTGGCTCTTTACAAATAGTTCTTGAAGCACAAATATACATATATGTGGCAAGGTAATTTCCTAAAAAACCCCACTGTGGGTGAAGAGACTTACAAACGCCTTCTTGATAATGGAAGATTGCACTGGTTTAACTTTATCTGGTTTTTTTTAAAATGTGCAAGTGGGGAAAAGCTCTATCAGTGAAGTTTTGAAAAGAACAAAGGGACCGATGCATTCCTTGCAAGGAAATTAGAAAAATGCCGTACCACACATTTCCTCAGCTGAGAAAGAGGGAGGATGGCTGAAGGAACACCGTCCACCCAAGCCAGACAGACATATGGTCAAATGCCCTCCAGACACATCGGAAAAGAGTAATTCAGAAAAATAATAGGTTTTATCATCTGCTTCCATACCTGAATACAGCTAAGGGTGAGAAAGGAGGCTGTCGCGTTAACGCTCCATTAAAATCCATGAAGACTACACGTGACAGTTACGATTTCGGTGTGTTTGGCAGTACCCCCCCCCCCCCCCCAAAAAATGTTGTTGTGTTACTTTACACCGCGCGTGTTACCCATACACCAGGATAACTGCAGAAACGCCGTGTGACGCCAAGTAAGGAGTCAGTCCCCTGTGGGTTTTAAGCACTGTAAATCTCATTATAATATCAACAGGAGTCACATGGCTTAAACCCCCAGCAGGGTTTTTTAAAGTTTCTCTGCGAGAGCCTAAGGGCCATGGCCAAGTCAACGGAAAGAGCCCTACCGAGATTTGTATTTGTTTTTTAAATCCAAGTGCAAATCTCTTTTCTTTCCAGGGAACTTGCACAAGACAAGACAAACTATGTAGGACACGATACCCCGGCACTGTGTCCAAAGCAAATGACGGAGTGACCAACAGAGCATCAAAGTGTAAGCGATGCTCAGGATGTCAAAGTCTAGTGCCGTCAATAACCAGAAAGACTGGTGTTGACTGTAAACGGGAACTTAAAAGGTCATTTCGCTAACACGATGCTGAGTGTAACACACTTAACACCTACGTATAGCTTCCACTGCCATTTGACAAAGCAGAGCAACTACTTCAACCTACCAAAAATAGACACTTCAAAAAGGAAAAAAAAAAACCAACCTCAGTATTGAGAGACAAATGCAGGCACCCTCCGTAGGCAGCGTCGTGCCTTTCCGAAGGCAGTGACTCCCATCCCACCCGCGGGAGGGGGGGGTTCAGCTGTGCCTTTCGGTGACCTTTATGTGTCAGGATCAGATTACTGCTATTTTATCCATCCCACTTTCGAAAATATTATAGATTGCCACTTGTTCCCTGATAGAGCCTTAAGAAGCACCTCAAAACAAAACAAAGAGCGGGTTTAAACAGAAGCAGATGTAACGCACAAAGGATAGAGCCAGTGGAAATGAATGGAGAACTCTGTTTAACTGCTCTAAGTACTCACGGTGTTTGAGCAAATAGAGGTGGAAAATGAAGATTTTAATCCAATACATAAACAAACAGCTTTGTGGGCACAATGCAAACCTATAATCTTAAATTGTTCAATATTTTGTCTGCTTGCAAGCACAGTTTCTGTAATCTGGATGCATCCTTGGTTTCGCTGCCGGAGACAGACTTGTAGAAGATCTGAGCATTGGCAAGCAGAAGCAAGTTTTAGGTCTGTTTGATTTCTAATGACACATTAGAGTAGGTGTTTGTTTCTGTCACCCTCTCCTTCCCAGGAACGCATATTCGTGGTCGGGTAGTGCTGATGCAACACTAGTTAGTGGAAGTGATTTTATAACAAGACATAATTTTCAAAGAAGCGAAGGAATAAATGATGAAAAAAATCAAAATTATATGGGTTTTTTTTCCTCCTCATAAGGTACTTGCATACAAAAATACTTAGCGCAATAGAATTATTTCCAAATAATGGAATGGTGCAGCGATATTACATCGAAGTACAGCAGATAACCCTCTGGCCAGTAAAACGACTTGCCTAAGTTGGCTTATTCATGACATACGACAGAGTAACAAAATCCATGTGGGAAGCCGAAAACTGCCTAAGTGTCCATTTATTTTCTGCTGCCTCCAGCCCCGTTTCCAGTAAGGAGGGGAGAAGGGCCAGGCACTTCCACAGCTCCTCTGAGCTTGCTGGATAGCGGAGAGGAGTTTTTGCCTCTGCTTTCTATGTTGCTCCATAACCCCAAGGCTCTCCAGAGGGTCTGGAAGCAAATTCACCACCTACTTCGACCGGGCTGGCCGTCAAAGCTGGTACTTGCACAGCCCCCCCTCACCCGGACCACTTCAACCATTTAACTTTTGGAATAGATCTGCTGTGCTCCAGCATCACTGAAGAATCACACTCCGGGACACAAAAGCACGGGAGATAAAGAAACCACAGACAGCTAAGCCCCGGTGGAGAGCAGAAATGACAGCATGCCCCAAAGAGAGATGAGAACACACTGGGGACTGGGGAAAGCAGCGACCAAAGCACGAGCATGAAAGCTGCCCACGCTGCATGGTTTAATCCAACCCGTACTTACTAACCGCACGAAACCGGGTACCATGCTCGTTGTACACACTGGCAAAAAAAAAGTCACGGGTGGATATAAAAACCAGCTCAGCAGAAGCCTCAGTAACAGTGCTCCTGCCACACGGTGGACCGTATCTTAAATAGTCGTGATGCTGACATACTTCATATTCCACTCTCTCTCTTCCACATCTGCTTGGGCCAACGATCTTTGCCAAAACACTGGGGGAAGTCAGTGATGTAGAGAAGCATCCCTGATTTTTCTATTACGGTTACAAAGCATCTGCTCACGTTCTAACGGCGTGGAGAACATGCCTGAGCCACCTGCACGCTGCAAAATCAATACCACGTCTCCTGCTTTCCTCTTGGAACGGGGTTTGAGCAGAGCACCCACAGAAACAGCAGAATTGCCTTGAGGTTATTTTTTTTTAAATTTGATTTTATTTCCCAGGGGCAATGGACAGTGACATCATCTTTGTCAGCTGCCAGGAAACCGATGTCAGTGCGTGGTCCGGGCAGGAGCACGGGGCTCGGTCTCACACCTCATTCCCCCTGGGCCTGACATGGATGGCATGGCCATTGAGGCAAAATTCCCCAATTTTGGTCCCGTACAGGAGACACACAACTGGGAACCAACAGGGCTTTCCCAAACTCAGGACTGCCCAGCAAGCTCTAAAGCTCGTTGAAAGGCACCGACGGAATAAAGTTGGTGAAAGTGTCACAATTCTTTGAGTCGGAAACACTCGCCGTATTTAAAAATCAAAACGGAAGCAGCAATGATTAAATCCTTGTACCGACTGTACTTGAATGCAAGTTCCTGCTTTCATGACAAAATCAATTGAATAAAGATGTGTTTTGCAGTGAAGTTGCACTCATGCAAATCCCTCTGAATTCTTACTAAGGCGG